TTTTTTTTTTTTTTTTTTTTTTTTAATTTTCTCCCCCGCTCGCACAGCACAAGTGCTACAATTTAGTGCGTTCAATTTTTTGCCTGTCATTAACTCTGCCCTAACCCGCGTGAAAACATAACTACATGTTCTCTTCCTCCACTTCTTACAATTTCTTTATTTTTTTTTTACTCCCTTGTACCTGGTTGTTGTTTTTTTTTTTGTTGTTTTCTTTCCTTCTTTTTTTTTTTCACCCGCTTATAGCATCGGCACCTGCACACCCATCCCCCAAATTACGAAACACCGTTCCTTGAACGCAGCATCCTCTACACATTTTCGAAAAGCCCGAGTGTAACATACATGTAGGTACTGCGCTGCGTGCACCTGGGTGTATTTGCAACTTGGTCTCCACGGGCTATGTGCTATACATGCTAATTCCCCACCCTCCACGAACGTATGAATAAGCATAATGCAAACGCGCGTTACATGAGGAATGCCACACGTGTGATCTTTGTACGTCAACATGGATTCAACAAATAGTAGTACCAACGATGACACCAAAAAGAAGGGCAAATTTATAGTCTTTGAGGGGCTCGATAGGTTGGAAAATGAAAATAAAATGACCTTTTCAAATTTTGTCAGAACATGCATACGGCGAGGGCACTCAACTGCTTTGTGTACCCATCCACCTGTGCATGGTGTGATCATTCGAGTTCTTTTTTACAAACACGCTGTGGTGCCCACTTTTTTCTTTACAACTCACTCTCCTGTTAGGTCGGGAAAATCGACTCAGTCGAAATTGCTAGTAGAGCACTTGAGGAGGAAAAATGTGGAAGTCCACCATTTGTGTTTCCCAAGTAGGGCCCTTACGAGCGTTGTAAAGTCGTCCTCCTGCAAAAAGCTGCCACATGGCCAAGCTGCTTAGCTGTGTAAAAAACGAACCATCCCTCCCCCCCTTAAGACAGGGAAACCCCCACGGGACAAATAATCGCCAAGTATTTGAAAATGCAGACCGACATGACGAATGAAACCATCCATCTACTCTTCTCGGCAAACCGATGGGAGCTAATGTTAAAAAGAAAAAAAAAAAAAAATGTATTTTTTTTTTTTATATATTCACCCACGTTCCATGCCTATGCGTGTGTGTGTGCGTGGGGGTGGCCATTTCGGCATGCTCCGCGTCTCGAAGTTGCCTCTTCCTAATCGTACTGCTCCCCCCAATGCTTCACTTCATTATGCGTTAATTCACTTAATTTTCCCCTGCTTCTCTTCGCATTTCCCATTTCAGGGGCGAAATTAAGAGTCTGCTGGCCAAAGGCGTGTGGGTCGTCTGCGACAGATATGCCTACTCGGGGGTGGCCTACTCTGCGGGAGCACTTGTAAGACCACATGTACCAAAATGCACACCTTACGTGGAGAGAAAATGTCCCCCCTCCTCTCCTTTTACTTCATACAACCTACATACCACACTTGCACTTTTTGTTTCCCTTGTTCCAGAAATTGTCCAAGGCTTGGTGCATGAACCCCGACCAAGGTCTAATCAAACCGGACGTAGTTTTTTATCTCAATGTTCCTCCCAACTACGCCCAAAACAGATCAGAATATGGTACCCTCTACATACTTGCCTCCATTCAAGTGGAAGCATGTGCTATCACATAAAGGCGTGTGGTAAATGTGGACAATGTATCTACAACCAGTGCCCGCCCGCGGGTCACCTCCAACGCAAAACGCATTCCCATTCTCCCCCCACACCCCTGAAGGAGAAGAAATTTACGAAAAGGTCGAAGTACAGAAGAGGATATATGAAACGTATAAAAATTTCTCCCAAGAGGATTATTGGATAAACCTTGACGGAACCAAAAACATAGACGTAAGGGGGGGAAAATTATCTTGTTTTCATAACAGGACGTTTTCTTTACATGAGGCTTTCCATAGATGAGCCTTTTCACTTCAATGCGTGAGTGCACAGGTGCAAATCAGATACCTCCCATCCGAATTTTTTCCCCCTTCCCAGGACATACACCAAGATGTTGTAAATGAGATAACCAAACTGGATCCAGTGCGTGAAGAGTTGTTCACATTTTTGTGGTCCTAGGGGTCCACGCGTGTGAGCAAGTACCTCACATGTCCATGCATCGATGTGTGCATGGTAATGCTTTGGAGAAAAAAAAAAAAAAAAAATGTAACCGCGTGTACCGTAGGTTTAACAAAACCGTCATCACACTCGCGGTCTTTTTTGTTTTTAATGTATATAATGTGCCCCCTTGTGAAAATGTTTGCGTTGATGTTTGCGCGGACGTTTGCATGGACGTTTGCGCCATTTCTTCCTCCATCTCACTTTTTTTTTTTTTTTCCATTCACCGCATCTACCTCTTAAAAAGGGGCATCAAACCTACTTCATTTTTACGTATTTTATGGGTCCTGTAATTCCTCAATGGGTTAAGTGCTCAGCGGAAAAAAAAAAAAAAAAGAGAAATCGCAAAAAGAATTGCACAAGGGGGGTCGCAAAGGGGTACTTCCGAGTGTTACGTTGCAGCAGTGAACTTCCATTAGACGCGGCGGATGGAATGGGAGGGCGCACATCTACCTTACAGCCCCATGAGCATCCCCCCATGAGGCGCAAAAATAGTGAAAAGAAAAAAAAAAAAATACACAAAGGAAGGGAAACAAATTCTTAAAAATGTAGCTTTAAAATGGATACATAGTTAAAAGTGTACAACTTTTATAATGCACATTTGAGTATGTCTGCAGAACTTGGGCAAGGCTAACTAATTGAAGCGGCACCCATAAAAGGCTATTTGCATTTGGTACTGTTCTACCCATCCTTACAAATCCTTCCTCCTGCACAGACGCGCACACCGCAGTGCATCGAAACAACTCGCGCCGCTGTCCCGCTGGGTCTTCCCCCTCTTCAACCGAGCGGGGTCTCCAGAATGTACAGGCAACTCACTTGTCCCGCTGCTGGTCCCATCGAATGGCTGTTCGCTCTCCAAAGGGAAGTTCTCATCCTGCTGCCCCTCTTCCGCTATCGCAGCTTCCTCCAAAGCGGCACTCCCCTCTAGGGAATTCTTAGAAGAAAACTGTGCGCCGCCCTGCTCCGTAAGTAACCACTTCTCCTTAAAACTCTTAGGGTAAACAAAAACAGATTCCTTGAAACTATCCACAGAGGAAAAACCATCATTGTGGAGACCCTTTTTAAAAAAAGTGAACTTCTTCGTAAACTGTCTAATGATGGAAGTCCTCTTTGAAATGTACTCTTCCCCTATAATAATGCTATTAAAAGACTGAGGTATGCATTTATACTTTTTTGTAATTCTCAACTCATCTTGTGTTAAGTCTTTTATATTTATTCGATTCATTTTATTGTCCTTTCCATTAATCCAGTTGCGAGAAGAAATATCTGGATCATGCATCAGAATAGGTGGATACAAATCTTCTTGAAATTTTGTTGGGTTTTTTCTAGGCACATAAAAAGAAATAGGTCTGATGCTAGTATTATTTTCGTTCTTATAAACTCTTCCAATTTCACACTTATACACATCACAAATTTGCTTTGGTAAAAACCCAAATGATCTGAATGGAGAACAAGACTTGTATTCATTTACCTTACGTATGCTTCCAAGTGAATGTTGATAATAACGACAGTTCCCATCCCCCTTGCCAATAATATATATAAGTCCAGTGCTCTCATCATAATGTGGGATCAAAGGAGCAGATGCATTATCTATGGACATGGTCACTAAAGCAGATGTTGTAGTCCTTAAATCCCACAGTTTCATTTCTCTTAAATTATTTTTAGAAAAACCTGTACTTAAAATGTAATTATCATCCCCACCTAAGCCATCGATCCATATATTCTTGGTATTCTTGCCACCACCATGGATGTGAAAACTTGAAGCAATTTCCTTCTTCCTGGGATCGATTATGTGCATATACTTCCCTACACAAGTACCACTTAATAAATTACCCTTCACGTTCCATTTTAAGGAAGATAATTTCTTAGGCATTATAATTTGGAAGGCTCTCTTCTCATTCTCTATGTCCCATATATTTACAAAAGAGTCGAAACCACTTGAGCACATAATGTAATAGTTCATAGGGTTCCAATCTATAATGGATATTTTTTTTTTATGTCCTTTGAGAATGCATTGTGGATCTTTTATTTCTTTCACCGATTCGTCATTATGCGGTATCTGCCACACACGCACGGTTAAGTCTTCTGAACCTGATGCCAATATTTCACTGAAGCAAGGGTTGAACTGCAAGTCTAAGATGCTTGACGTGTGTCCCTTCAGCTTTATCACTGGTGGCTTCCGCATTTGATTCTCCAGACGAATAGCTCCTATCAACCCGCCACCCTCCACTTCCCAGGGCACCTTCCAGGGGGAGAGAGGAAAAAAAAAAAAAACACAAATGAGGGAACAACACAACTGGCACGTTCCCATCTAGAAAATATGGGCCCAACATTTTGCACACGTGGAAGGAGAAACGTGGAACGCTCATCTGGGCAAACTTCAAAATGTAAGGTGAACGTGTCTACCCATGCCACATTGGCAGGTTTGAACCCTGCCCAGTGTTTTCTCCATTCTCCTTCCCCCCCGTGCACTCCCATTTTTGTTACTCCACTTACCGCCACAAACCCCGAGCTACACGCAATGCCGCACGAGTCGATCACCCTCGAGCATATTCTCAAGTCGTCAAAAAGGTTGTTCGAAGGGTCCGCTGCGAAAAAAAAATAATAAAATAACAAAAAAAAAAAGGGTGGGCGCACGTCTTTTTCGTGCAGTTTAGTGAAGTTACGCGGAACACACGGAAAGCGACGCCACGCCGCACGCCAGGTCATGTCGACACCTCATGCGAAAAAAACATTCCCACGCACGGATATCATTTTCTTACGATATAAATTCTTTAGATACGGAATGCTACTCATTTTATACGTCCATGAAATGGTGAATCGGTGTCAACAGGAAAAAAAAAAAAAAGTCTGTTCCTTCTTCGCATCGACTAGACACAGCAGCGTTGTTCGCTAAGTCTAACAAGGCAGACACAAATGTTGAGTCTTAGCCCAGCGGTCAAAGGGGGAAGCTAAAATTGAGAAAGAACTATACACCTATTATGTTGTAGGTGCTTTCCTTCACATTTCCTACCTTATCTCGATAGAAGAGTACAGAGCGGGCGTCCTTATTTTATCAGAACAGAAAAATGAATCAGCATGCATCCGAGCGAGGCAAAATGGAAAGTACACATTTTCCTGCGATTCTGGCTGAGCCACAAGGGACCATTTTGTTAACTCATAAAACACGCTAATGCTAGTGATAATGTTAAGGCGTACTCGCAAATTAAAACAGAAAAGGGAATTCCTCACCCATGTTAGACACAACCATAACTTCGTAAAGCAAATCGTTTGAGCAGAAACCACACGGCAAAATGCTGACTGGAGTTTTCCACAACTCGGAATAAAGGACTAGCTATCGGTGCGCAAGAAGAAAAAAAAAAAATTTCTTTTCCAATTTTTTTTTTTCTAACCAGTGCACACAAGTAGGGGCAAATCGGGACGAGTCCCATCTATGCTAAACACAAAATCGTATCCAGACCAGGCGCATATGCAACTGTTCACACACAAACGTGAGCACAGTTATGTAGACTTTTTTTTTTTTAATAAAATTGTATACCCCCAAATGGAACGACCAAACGGCTATCAAAAATGTTTGTGCCTTTTTCCCACAAATTTAGGCTTACTCCTTAATTTTTAAAAAAGGAAGTAAATCGATTGGAAAAAAAAGGAACGTTAATGGAAGTATCTACAGAACGAAAAATTTATAAATGGAATGAATAAGCAACGGAGTTCTTTTTTTTTGTTCCCTTCCACTTCACCGCCCTACATTACTTTTGTCCATTCATACCAAATGTGCAACCTTTTTCTTCGCACGCTCTACTGGCGTCATTTCTTTTTGCCCCTTAAATGGACAAAACAAACTCTGCGTGTACAGATCTGTTCTGTTGCCACACGGAACGTTCGTGGGGAAAAAAAAAAAAATGAAAAAATAAAAAAATTTTTTAAATTAAAAAAAATTAAAAAAACAAAAACACCAGCAGCTTAGCAAAAGCAATTTACCCATTCCACTGGGTCCATCTTCAAATCACATACATTCTCACATATCCATTTTAACGAAAACAAAAAAAAAATAAAATGAAACATAAAGTGATACGCAAAAGAATTGATGACTTTAAAAAAAATCACATGGTCGATAATCCCTATCCAGGAAGTAAATATATAACGATAGAAACACCAGGGCCAATAGAAGAATGATAGAGTAGCACGCCAACGACAGGTGTACTTGTCTTCCGGAAATTACCTGAACGAGCGAGTCCTGAAATGAGCAAAAAAAAAAAAAAAAAAAAAAAAAAAGGAAAAAGATGGGAATATGTTAATTGCTTCTTTTTTAAAAAAAAAAAAATGAAAAAATAAAAAAATTTTTTAAATTAAAAAAAATTAAAAAAACAAAAACACCAGCAGCTTAGCAAAAGCAATTTACCCATTCCACTGGGTCCATCTTCAAATCACATACATTCTCACATATCCATTTTAACGAAAACAAAAAAAAAATAAAATGAAACATAAAGTGATACGCAAAAGAATTGATGACTTTAAAAAAAATCACATGGTCGATAATCCCTATCCAGGAAGTAAATATATAACGATAGAAACACCAGGGCCAATAGAAGAATGATAGAGTAGCACGCCAACGACAGGTGTACTTGTCTTCCGGAAATTACCTGAACGAGCGAGTCCTGAAATGAGCAAAAAAAAAAAAAAAAAAAAAAAGGAAAAAGATGGGAATATGTTAATTGCTTCTTTTTTTATACATGTCTGTGCGTGCGCTTGGTTTCGCCACAACGTATGCGATGTCGTGGCAGAGGGGAACATTCCCCATCTTTATGTTCCTACTATGGCTCCCCAAGCGCATATAATTCCAAGGATACAAAATATGTAGTCTGAAAAAAAGGAAGACAAGAAAAAAATGAAAAAAATTAAAGTTCTCGCGAATACGGGGGGGGAGTAGGACAATGGAAGAAGTGCAAAAAGATAAAAAATAAAATACGTGGAACGGGCAAATTCCCTGCTTCACAATTTCACAATGTGACAACTTCACAACTTGACAAATGTAATTAACACGACGCAAGAAACATGCTTCCGCGCAGTGGTGAACGCTCCACGGGCTTATGTGCACGAGTTGTAGAGGGTAGACAAAACTTTCCCCCCATTAGTCCTAACCCCCCAATAAGACATAAACCGCCCCTTGAGCACATATAAATCACATTTATCACGAACATTGCATTTTCTCCCAAATGGTCATTTCGCAGACGCGCCCGCGAGAACGCCCTCAAAGATGATATGCATTGTTACTTAAAACTGTTATAAACTTCCGCGAGTAGGAATAAAACGTGTGCTTGTTCTTCCTTCTACTTCCCGCTTGCTTCAACAAATCGCTTCTGCTATTTTGGTAGCCAATCTCCGAATTCTCCCGATCTGAACTTGTGGGACTAGCCAAATTGGTAGCGTTCGTTTTCTTGGACGAGTTGAAATTATTTTTGAAAGGCGTTGACTCGCTTTCCTTCGCCATTTATCATTCCCTTATTTGTTCCCTGTTTATCCTTTTTGTAACGGAGAGCGTGGCAACGCAAATGCGCGGTATGTAATTACAAGGGCGAAAGAATTGTTCCACGGCGTTCTGCAGCCAAGAAAGAGTGTTCGCCTCCTTCGGTAAACATAAATATGTATGCATATATATGCCCACAAATTTACATGTACCTGTTACTTACACATATACATATGTACTTTTTCTTTACATGGGATCACTTTACTATTGGCAAAATGACGGCTCATTAGAGAAAATTCCTCCTGTTTTTTTTTGCAGCCTAGTTACAGCTGGGAATTTTTCACTGGGCGCTTTACTCTATCACTTTGTTTGATCTGTTTGCTTTGTCGCTTTGCTTTATCATTTTGCTGGATCGCTTTGTTCACTTTTTTTTTTCCGTTTGCTAAAATCGTTGCAGAAATGGTGCCTCGCGACTGTGCGCTATAATGGTTCGCATGGTCCTCAGTGATGGGGACACCACGTGCAAGAAAAAATAAAGAACAAAAAAAAAAAAAAAAAAAAAAAACAATAGGAAAAACGGGTCCAAAAAACGTAATGGAAATTTTACCTGTTTCCTGCTTAGCCACATTCCCCTATATTTTTGTCCTCTTCTATTGTGTTTACCTGTTCAAATTCCCAAGCGTGGGGAAATTGATGAAAAGACTTGTAAACACGCTCCCTATAAATTGTGGCTCGGCATCTCCGTATGAACAGATTGCCCCATGCATAGAAAAAAGTAAAACTACGCAGGTGAAACTATTAAACCGTGTGAAGCCGTCACTATACCCAAATGAAACATAAAAAATGATAAAATTACGCTATCTAAGTGTTAGAAAAGGATGTTTTTTTTTTTTTTTTCCTCTCTCTTTTACGTACAAAATGGATTGCAGTTTGTTGGGGCACACCCAGAATTTTCTTCCTAGCCAAATGGAGCGTACATATATTTGATCATTTACATATGAGGGCAGGGTATGTACACAAATGCACGCCCTTGCGGCCGCCCAGGCGAACACAACGAAGGGCTGCGAATCAGACACTCCTCAACTTGTGCCACCCGATGAGTTACCATTTCTCTTGTGCAGCTTCCCACCCTGCCACTCTGCCAATCGTGTTTGCGTTTTACCATTTTGAACGTAAAGGATGTGATAAAAAAAGAAAGGCCAAGACGTGTGCTTCAATTTCACAATGATGAACAACGTATAAGGGGAATGATTCACGAAACAGAATTATTCCCTTCAGATCGGCTACCTTTTCTACGTTGTTAATAGAGCAGGTCCAATCGTAATGTAAGTTCTTGTAAAGCGCAGGTGTTAGCAAAATGGGATTGGAACAAAAAAAAAAAAAAAAAACAGGAATCTTTTTATTCAACCCGTTCTCACCTCTTTTTTCCCAGAGGTTTGTTGTTTTCTCTTTCAAAGTAGGACACAAAAAGACATTTTACAAATCACACAGCATCGCCATAAAACAGTGTGATTAACTCATCAACTTTTCATTTTCGTCCTCCCAAGCTCATCGAGGGATGGGAAAAATATAAGCACATCTTAAAGGATTCAAAAGAGAGTTGCACGTTTCTGTCTTTACCCAATTGTCTGTCACTCTCCTTTGTCATTGTCCTTATCACGGCGCATCATTAACTTAAGCGACGACACAACTCTCAATTTGTCTCATCTTTTACGCTCACATACACATACACTTGCACACATATGTGGGGATATCTCGTAAAACAGATTTACTCCTCAATTGCTTGTCCTAAAATGCATAAGCGTGGTGAACACATAATGTGCGCACGAGTAAACTTTGTCCAACCTTTGAAAAAAAAAAAAAAATAATAAAATTATTTTGCGCTGCATGCGTTCATAACATCATTTTGTGGAGGAAATAAACTCATGTAATGAATACGTACACCTCTTTTTTTGGCTGAGCTAAATGTTGCGCTTCGTTGCTCTACACTATTATTTATTTATTTATTTATTTTTTTTTTTTTTGCAAAATGTTCCATGTTCATATACTGTACGTAGTTAATTGGGCAGGTTTCATCTTACAAATTTATGCTTCCCGCGAGGTAGACAGAAAAAACCAAAACGATTTAAGACTACACATTTCATTTTCCGTTTTTAGCAATCCCTTGTTTTTTCAAAATATAAATTCGGTGATTTTCCTATTCGTGTGACTCAAATTATGAAGTCATATATGCGCAGTGAACATTTCTTATTAAAAAAATATATGCACAAATGTACATTCCCCAAATTGTCCAATTTATTAAAATGACTCGGGTGACGTTCCTTTGCCTTCTATGGTTTGTCACACTTGGTTCTACAACATTGCAGTAAGTTTTCACGTTCTAGGGCCGTCTTTTTTTATTTTATTATTTTTTTTTTTTAAGCAATGCACATGTTAAGGGAGCGGTCCCTGCATGGTGACTCTATCCCTACATGCCTCACCACCTGTTCGGTAGTTTTCGCTTCATCCAACCTCCACAATATTTTTACAATTCATAGAGATGAATTTCCAACCGTTAGATGGGGACAGAACTCAAAGAAGTTGACGCTCCTAATTTCCATCCCGTTCGTCCAAGGGGAAAAGGTGGAATTTACGGAAAGGTGATATAAAACCACTGGGGAGGGGACGCATGAGAGAAAACGCTATTTCAAAAAAAAAAAAAAAAAAAAAAAGAATCACTCATAGTTTATCACTATGCTTGGACGTCCATCCCCACTGGATAATGTCTGAGCAGAAAAGAAAAGATTCGCGTAGAATATATGCTGACTACACCCGTGCAACATTTTACTTTGTTCCACTCGCGTTGACACGCCCCGTTAAACACGTTCACACGCCTTCTTAAACACGTTCACCCCTTCACCCCCTCTATAGTAACATACACCTCACTGCGTCCAACAAGCAGGGTCAGAATTTCGAACTCAGCTTAGATTTACTAAGACCGATAATCCCACAGGTAGGTACCTTCGCTGATACTCCACAAACAATTCCCCATTGCACTGCCATTCGTGAGGAATACGCAGTGAACCCCCTCCCTCTGGGATACATGACCACTGTGCCTCTGGCTTTATACTGCAGCCTTTAACATTCCCAATGTAAACTCAAACGCAAACTCAGAAATGTTCCTACACCTCATTGGACAGCGGGCTAAAGATACAAATTGAGAAACAGGTCAAGGTTAGCTGCGCATTATGCGGTTACTTTTTTTTTGCTTTGTTTTTTTTTTTTTTTGCTCACACTTATGTAAACACCTTCATGTGGACCCTCCCCCCCCCCGAAGGAACCGTGCTGGAAGCGCTTGACGAAGAACGAAAAAGTGAATTTTTTGATAAAAGACAAAAGGCTTAGCGATCCAACAGAGTAAACATTAAAAAATAAACACGTTCCCATGCGATTGATCAAATGATGAAAATTTGTTCAGAGCGCTGTGCATACGTTTTTCATGTTGGATGTATGAATATTGCTTTCCCCTGAATGCAAAACACACATGCTATACATAACAATGGGAAAATTCCCCCTCCCCCCCTTGCGAAGCTGTGAAGAGGCCAAGGAAGTCTGGCTGGGAGAATACATGTATAAGACGAAACCTGCGTCACTTCTCTTTTGACTTCGCTTCACCTTTTTCCAAGTTTGAAACGGTACAACGGGAAACTACCCCCTGATAAATTTATTTCCTGGTCCCATACACTTCACAGGTTTTTTAAAAGAAAAAATAAGTCGAAAAACTCCCCAACAAGGGTGGATGATGCTGACCCAACAAAAAAACAGGACATCGTGCAGGCAAGCAAAATGGCACCATATGCACATGGCCATAGTGTCATATGTCATGATCGAACAGCAAAAGGCGGTTAATCCGGCGTCTTCTTTTTCCTCCTATAATATACATATATATGTATTTTTTTCTTTTTACCCCCGCGGAAACAGAACATAATTGACAGCTTCAAGGATGCCCACCCAAATTTCTCCCTGCACGAATATTAGCAAAAACGGGGAGGCGGGAAAAAAAAATATAGAAAGGGAAATTGCGGAAAATATTCATAAAGAAGGCATGGCCGTGCATAAGCGCTGTGTAAATTTATGCAAATAATAAAGAAAAGTGTTTGGAAAAATGGATAATCTGAATATAAGGCTTGTTCAAACTGATATAAAACAGTAACTTTTATATATGGTTATGTTTCTTCACATGTGCGTTTTTTTTTTTTTTTTTTTCCATCTTGAATTGTTTGGTCTCGCCAAAGCAACGTGGCACGTGGCGCAACTTGCACGTATGCATAACTGTACTTTTCAAATAGCAATATGGTGGGGTAGGTCATAAGGATGGCGTAGCCGTACGATGGCGTAACTGTTCCCATTAATCCCTGTAACAGACTCATGTATGCGCGGAGGAAAATCTGACATTGCATGACTAGCCATTTGGAAAAAAAAAAAAAAAAAATAAAGTCCTGCCGATTTATTTACATACATGTTTTTTTCATACCATTTTTCATTGTACATTTTCCCTGTTGTGAGGAACCAAAGCGAAAGATAACTTAAGCACAATGCATGGGTTGATTAGGAGGAAATGCCTGCATCCACAATTTTTTAATGGCACATGCGGGATCCATATCGTTAAAGCAAAGTGTGCTTTTTGTTCCGAACCATAACATGAAAACAAGAGGTTAAATAATTAAGCTGCAGGTGAGGCATTTTATAACTGTTGCCATCTTGGGGACATCTCCTTCCAGCCATTTATGGACAACCAGTTGATCATTTTTTTAAATGCCCATTTTGTTAAATAAAAAACAACAAAGTGTTCAGACGGGCCAAATTTGTACAACAGTCAAGCATGGACATCCACCCCCTGCACAATTGATGGGATGATCAGCTGTGCGCATCGTGTCACTCGCACAGTGCGTAAATTTGACCTTCGCTGCGTAACACATATGTGACGCGTTACACAAAACATTTTTTTTTTTTTTACCGTCCCGTGCATTGCCCATTTATTCCTATACAAAACCCAAGGTGTAGTCCTCTTCTGCATCAACCATTGTCCCCTCGCCTAATTGTGCCTGAAGGCACAATCTAACAACTGTGTACCCCAATCAGCAACCGTGGTTAGCGTTAAAACATATTGGAAGGTTGAGTGACCCTGCACACACACATACACAACCTCGAATGTATACACTCAAACGTAGTTATGTTACTTCCACATATGGAGATCCTTAACTTACCCCCTCATGCGGCAACAAATGCATCACGCAGATTGCTCACACTTTGCTTAACGAACAATGGCCCAAGATTGGAAAAACACAATTTTGAAACGCATGAAACAGAGGAACGTTGCACAGAGCCAGAGATATGAAGAAGTGCTAACCTCATACAACGCCCTAGTGGATGAAAAAAACAAACTGACAGCCATCATTGCATCCTTTACGTCAGAAAATGTGTTCATGTATAATGGTAAACATTTGGGCACCTCATTTTCCAGTCGAGAAAATTCCATTCCGAACATTTTAAACCACTTTCATTCTCAACGTGATGATTATGATGGGGGGGACAATGTCACACATCGGGATGTCTCACTTAGCATAGCATCAGGGAATGATGCCACGACGGAAGGCTCCCCATTTGGGGCGGCAACCCCGTCAGTAGTTAATAGCAAAACGCAAGACAGACTCATAAACGGAGTCTCCAAAAGAGAATTGCTTCAAGTCATTACTGCAAAAGCCAAAGCAGATGAAATGATACTTCTACTAAAAAACAATATAAATGAAAAAAAAAAAATTCTCCATGTTTTAAACAAACACAATAAAACTTTGAATGAAACACTTATAAAAAGGGAACAGAACCTCAATGACAAAAAAGAAAAGTTGTGTCATCTGCAAAATGTTATTAGTAAACAAAAGAAAGACATAAAATTGTACGCCAGTTGTAACATATCCCTTAGGAGGAAAATAAAATTGAGCCAAAAAAAAAAACAAAAAGTCATTAACGCATTTGATGCAATAAAACTTTCCTATTTCAAAATATGGAAAGAAGCTTTTCAACTGAAAACTTCCAAAAAGAATCTGCAGGAGGAGTACTTCACCATCAGAAATGAATTGTTACAGAAAAAAATTGAAAATGAAAAACTCCTTGAAGGCATGTTAAAAATTAAGAAAGCATACAGACGTCAGCTCATCAAAATGCACACATTTATGCGACAACGTAAGGACAATTATTCCCTCCCTGCACAACAAAGTCGAACACACAAACGAACGTTTCTTAAAAAACATAATTTTTTTTTAACTCTATACTGGGACAAACTGCACTACAAGCATACATCATATGGGGAACCTCCTTTGGACAATACACACCATTCGCATAGTAAGAGCAACATTTTTGCAAAAAAAAAAAAAAATTTGTTAGCCATATCGGGTAGAAGTGGTCATACTGAAGAGGTGCCCACACGTCATGACATTCCCTACCAGGAGAAGTCCCAATGGAGGGGAAATACATCCGCTCCAAAAGCACCACGTCAAAGTGGGAAAAAAAAGTACAGCGTCTTACGGGAGGATGTGGCAGTAGCACAAAATAAGGGTTCCTGTTTTCAAAACCGTCATGAACACCGCACCCACGTCGGGGCAACGAGTCTCCGAAATAAATGCCTTGCGAACGGAAGGTACCAAACCTTGTCAAATGATCGAACTCAAGTCCTTAACAACGGTTTACGTAAACCCCGTCTCCACAAGATAAAGGGACGTCTAAGCGTTCACACGAGCAGCAATGACCTCTGCTTTAGCGCCTTACCCGGAACAAGTCCACACGTTGATTCACACAAATGTGAGAAGGCAAAATGGGAAGGAAGGCAACGCGGTTGTGCTTCCGACAACGAAAAACAATTAAGCTCATCATATTTAGCAGAGGATCGTGAAGATGGAACCTTTCCAAATTTTAACATCAACGACTGCGACAGTGATGTGGACCTCGTTCGCAGCGTTGGTAGCGATGAAGACTATTCCGAATTGAGGGACTCCTGTCCGGTGGGCTTGCGCACAGCTTGGGTTCCACACCTGCATAACGCGCTCCCCACAGTTGCAGAGGATGAAAGCAGAGCCTTTGCAAAGATCAAAAAAAAAACAAGCGGACATGCATTAAACGTTTCCAAATAACCGACCAGAAAATCGCAGCGACCAATGTGTGTGTACATCCCGCCACAAAACATTCCATACTCTCTCCCAAACAAACAGTGCCATCTGCTTAGTAAAATAAGGAAAGGGGTGCAAATGAAAATTTCTACCACCCCCATGACGAAAATATAATATCGATTAATTTTTTGTACCATCCAAGTTACTAGGACGTGTTGCCTGTTCAAGTGGCTCCCCAGCAGACAGCCTTTTCTTTTTTTTTTTTTTTTGTTTTGTTTTTTTACAAGATCAGTTTAGACAAAACGGTATAATTGTTCGATTTAGAAATGGAAAGTTTGTACAGCTTACTTTTGGGCAACACGATGCGATAACTTATTCATGCAAAACAAACAAGCAGCCACTTTTCTTTATTGGAAAGCGCTCAGGTTTAGTCATATGATACGATGTATTATAGTCCACAACACAGAGACAAAACACAGTCAAGTACTATATAGCAAAAAGAATATTTTTGATGATCCAATTTCCCACATGAGGTACTCCCCACATGATCGACCCATAGCAATATAGTCCATCGGGGGAAAAACCAAATTGCTAAACGAAAATAAAATGAATTTTTTTTTTCAGTGCCTCCAAAAGCCAGATTTTTTTTAACAATGAAGTTCCCCGTGTGCACTGGCTTTTTCTCCGCTGATGGGAACGAGCTAATTTGCACCTACCTTTCTACACCTCTAATTGAATACGATGTCTTGACGCATTCTTACGTCAGCGTTGTTAATGACGACGTTGGTCAGGTAAACGGGGCGCAATGGCTGCCAGGCGGCAACCTGTGCACAATTCAAGCGAGCGGGAACGTCTCCATTTGGTGAAATTGGCACCCCTTCTTCGCTCCCATGTTGCCGTTATAATTGTGGCCACTTTGGCTGCTTTCTTTTTTTTTTCATCCTTTTTTTCTAATCACTAAAGTGAACATTCGGCAACTCTCTCACGAGTGGCGCCTATTTTGTGGACACCCCCCGTTTGCCTTTTCCACGCATTTCTTGTTTCGTTCCTTCATCTCCCTTGTTTGTCATACTTAACTCCCTTTTGGAGAACGCCAAATTTTGTGCCTTCCCCTCCTCGCGAGGACAGGGCTTATTGTCCATTTTGTTTAAAAAAAAAAAAAAAAAAAAACGTACATTATGATGCTTCTCACTCACCCCCCTACGCGTGGAAGAGAAAAGCCAAGTCCTCCTTGGTCAACTTCTGCATCGCGTTGCCTGAGTCCCCAATAGTGCAGTCAAACACGAGCTGCTTCTTATTCTGAAGCTGCACGATTTTCTCCTCAACGGTGTTCTCTATGATGAAGCGTGTGGCGTACACAGTCTTAGTCTGACCAATACGATGGGCCCTCTGAATGGCCTGCAACTCAGCAGCGGGGTTCCACCACGGGTCAACGATGAAGATACGGTTGGCCACTTGCAAATTTAGTCCCTCTCCACCTGCCTTCAAACTGATGAGCAAAACTCGCAAATGTTTGTCTTCATTAAAGTTATAAAGAATATTATTCCTAGACACCATGGACATATAACCCAGCAACTTCGAACATATGATGTTGTGTTTCTTCAAATGGTACTCAATCAAATCAAGCATGGAACAGTACTGCGAAAATATTAAGCATTTATCATCTGTCTTATCAATCACATTTTGTACTTCCTCAAAGACCGCTTCTATCTTTGTACTTGTTCGATACTCGTTTGTATTAATTCGGTTAATAAAACTTTTGTTAATATAAGTAGTTTCCTCTTTGCAAAGGATCATTTCTTCATCATCCTGTTCTTCCACTTGGTTGAGCAAATTAAAATCAACCGTTAGGGGCACATAACACACTGGACACCCCAAAGGTAGATCCTCCACACCTGTGTCCTCTTTACTTAACAGACTAATGAATTGTTTCTTTTCCTTATCTTTAAATTTGACCACTGAAATGGATTTCGCTTTTTTACTTAACTTGTTTCCATCTGCTTCGTTTGTGGCACTACACAGGGAAGGCTCTTCATTGAATACGATTTCGTTTCTGTCGTAGTGACTGTCTCCGTTGTCCCGTGACTCGGCCCCCCAATGGAACGTGTGTGCCTTGGTCACTGTGCCGGGGGCGGGCGCACGACAACCATCATCATCATCATCACCGCAAACGTTACCACCGCAAACGTCGCCGCCTCCCCCCTCCTGGAAGCTCTCGATGTACTGCTTCAAACAGGCCTTGTGGAAATTGTGGTTACACTTGGTACTGATGTTGATCTTCTTGGGCACATTCTCTAAGCAGATGCCACACACGTAGTCGTTAGAAATCGCTGGGATGATGGAGGAATTTTTTTTTATAAATTTCCCAGACGGGTCACTAAGGAAAGAATTGCCAAATAAAATCAAGTACGGATGATCTGCAGCTTGTCTTAATCTGCTCAACAAATCAAATATATGTGCATAGTTGTGTAAAACGGTGTTCGACTTCACATATGCATCGAACTGGGTTGACGTCTGTTTGTAAAGAGATTCATAAAAATCCTTTTCCTCATTTGATAATTTATCCTTCCTAATTTTAATATGTAATGGTTTCAATTTTATATCATTTTTCCTTTCCCCTTTCGTTCTTCTTAATAAAATTTTGTCTAGCACTTCACTTTTTAAATAACACATGCTCGTCACTCCTTCCCCATTATAACCAAACAACTGTATAGGCCTCAAAATCCTTTTGTTAAAATAATTAAAGTGATTAATCCTCGAGTGGTCACAGAGGAAGCAAAATTTATTGTCCTTCATTTCATAATTTAATAACATACATTTACAATCTTTCTTTGAACAAAAATAATATGCGTAGGGGTAAAACTCAAGGAATCTTATTAAGCTATATAACTCTCCGATTCTGTTTTGTAAAGGAGTTCCTGTCAAACACCAACGATACTCTGAACACTTCAAATTGAAAATCGATTGCGTTGTTGATGTGTTGCGATTTTTTATTCTATGTGCTTCGTCTAGAATTATTCTGTTCCACTGTATCTGGTGTAAAGCACTCTCATCAAATATGCTGGGTTGGTCACTTTTCTGACTTTTCCTTTTCCTTTGCACCTTTTCAACAATGATCGAACCGTACGATCCGGTTGAGTCGCACGAATCGCTTGTCTCTTCCTTCACACCTTTGCTCTTCCAGGAACAAAAAGACGAAGATGCTGCTCCATCTTTACCAACCTGATCTATCCTAAACGATTCATCACTGTCACTTGGGCTAACACTTGCATCCACTACATCACTATTGCTTTTCCTTCTCCGTTTCAAATTGACCTTGGCGGTCAAACTGCTTCTCCTCTTAGCTGTGGACTTGGCCCCCTTGGCTTTCCTCAACGTGCACGTACTGCCCCCCGTTGTCTTCCTCCTACCATGGTTACCTTTCGCCCCCCCCTGACGTACTCGGCCACTTTTGCTCTTCTTGGTCATTCCCTTTTCCTCGCCACCGTTATTCTCATCATCAAGGGGATCACCCACATCAGAGCCAGTTCCACCACGCGTCACCCCCAATGCTGATGCGCTAGAAACGGTGCTACTCCTACTATTAATCGCCCTCTTCTCTCTTCCTTCCAATTTAGACGGCACCTCACTCGGCACTTCCCCCTTTCCCACCAACAGTTCTTGTCTTATATACTTGGTCGACACTAAAACCCTGTTGATCAGCTCAACCTTCGTTCCAAAAACATGTTTCCCCATCGTTATCAGCAAAACTTTCAGTTCCCCCATGTTTAACTTCTTCAACTGCTCCTCTTCTAAAGCCCTATCACTTAAATAAATTTCCTGCAACACCTCCTTACAGCGACCATTCATATCGACGGTGTACAGATCGTTCTGTAATATATCCTTAATGACTTCATTCCATTTTATGTTTTTTTTATTTCTTCCCTTCCCCTTGTGTGTGCTGTTAACCCTCTTGTCAATTACCTCCTTTTCGAATCCTAAATTGCACAGGTCTATTACTCTGCTGGACGTTTTCCTCGTCAGGGGGGAATACACCTGCTTGTTCGACTCTGAGCTGCTGTCGCTTTCTTGGGCCTCCTCCCCCGAGCTCAGAATAATGACATCGCTTTCCCCGTTGTCACTTCTTCCGCTCATTTGATCGTCCCCTTTTTTGGGGTTAACACTTTTCTTCTTCCCCTTTGTCACATTGGCCTCTTCACTTTTGACCACCTCACTCTCCCTTTTACTTTCATTCATTATTTGCAGAAGCACATTTCTTGGAGTCGGTACAAAATTATCATCAAACTTTTTCATAGCCACTAGTGCAGTGTCTTTGTCTTTTTTTTTCCTCTTTTTTAATTTTTCCGTTCTGACGGCATCTGGACCACAAAAGTATTTCTTATGAATCACCAGCGTATTGGGGAGATATAACCTGCCACAATACTCACAGGAAACTTTATACTTGTTAATTATTTTTCTAAATTGTACCTCTACCATGGCATAAGACGTAATAATGATGTCATATTTTTTCAGTTCTTCAAATGATATTTTTTTCATGCTTCCATGATATACGTACACCTTTAGGATATCTCTCTCGATGAATTTTTCTATCTCAGATTTCCACTGCATTACAGCTGCAATGGGGGCAATGATGAGTGTTTGTCCTTGGCTCTCCTCTTCTTTTTTAGCGTTGGGAGAATCTTCCGAAGTTTCTCTCTTGCACTTGCCCTTGTGAAGAGGTTCCGCCTTGGCAGTGCCCCTTTTTCGCGGTGCCTCCTTCTTGGTCTTTACCTCGTCAGCGTATTCCTTCTTAACACTCGCTACATCCTCGGAACTGCCGCCTCCGCTGCTAATGACCACCACGCTGCTATCTGACTCCTCCTTCACTTTGACCTGAACACCCGCTGCACACTCCATTTTTGCCAACTCGCCCACGCCTCGCTGACAGCGTCCCTCCTCTTCCTCCTTTAATTTATTTATTTTCTGGCACAAAATTAGAGTAATGGCCTGTATGGTTTTTCCCATACCCATTTCATCAGCCAAAATACCCCCCTTAACGCTGGACTGTTCCTGGTGAATCATCCATGACACTCCCTCCTTCTGATATTCCAACAAATCAAATTTAAGCTCTTTTGGAATTTTTAATTTATTTAGGATAACACGATTTTCTTGCTTAATTAAATTGCTTGAGCTAAATGCTTCCTTCTCCTGATTTATCAACGCTTCAAAACTGTTCCTCCACCTCATCCCATTCTTTATTTCACACGGCTTTGTCGTTTCCTTTAACTTTTCCTTTTCTTCATCATCCAGTTCGTCAAATCCTCCAAAAAAAAATTCCCAATTGATATTTTCATATATGAACCGTTCATGTAAATTGTAGTTACCCTCACACACATTTTGTTCCGGGTTGTCTAGGTACGCCTTCAAATGTGGCTCATTTTCTTGCGTATACAAAATGGCGTACAGGATTTTTCTGCTGCAGTCCAGGTGGACCCAGCAACTTATAAAACCGTAATTCCCCCTGGGGTCTTTCGTCGGGTAACCTATGCGTAAGTTGTTCTTTTCGATTGCAAACCCGCATACTCGACAGCGGCTGGCCTCTACAAAAAAGAAAGAAAAATAAATAAACAACTTGCTAAACAAATTGCTAAACAAACTGCTAAACAAACATGCACGTAAAACAATTTGCGAACAGGGGGTTGACTGGATACACGCTTTCCTCCATCTCTGCGCTGTGCCACCCCCGTTTTCAATACGCTCATTTCCCCTACTTGTCTTCGTCCGGTTTATCAACAACTTGGGGGTCAGATTGAGCGACTCCTTTTTTAGATTCAACCTCTTGATGTAATTCGTCCCAACCCAGTTCTTTAGCGCCTTCACGAATATGCAATTCGTTTCAATTATTTCTTTAAAAAATCGTTCCTTCTTAGAAAATATTTTATCCAGGTTATCACCCATCGTGACAGATTGCTGTGTTTATGCGTCCCTGTCTAGTTTGGGATTACCTTACTGAGACGCTCGGGCCACAGAGGCAGCTCTGCGCCGTCTTAGAAGATTCGCCTCGTACCTGACGTAGCGGCAAAGCGGTACGGGCAATGCCTGGGTGGAAGGCATATCAAACGAAACAATTACGTAATAAAAAAAAAAAAAAAAAAAAAGGAACTAAACAAAATTGACAGAAAAACGCGGCTAGTGAGAATAGTTAATAATACGCCCACATGTTTGCCCCGTTCAATTGCTTAAAAAGTAAAAGTTGCAAAAATTTGGAAAAAGCTTGGATGTTCACTTATGTATCCTATGCCACATGAGCAATTTGCCATTGTGGCCAAATTAGTTTCCAAATATGGGAACAACAGGCGTTCTTAAAAATGCTGGGGGAACGCATTTGGCCGATTGCCCGTTTACACGTCTGCCCCTTTGCACTGTCGCAAAGCGAACAAGTCGAATCAGCTCAGGGAGTTGTGTCCACACATGAGCGGCTCCTCCCAAGAGATACAGAATATGTTGCCAACTACATGCTCGTTTGTACCATTCTGAGCCTTTACACATTTGCGACACTTTAAAATAGTTTTTCTTTCTTTTTTTTTTTTTTTTCATAAGGTGGTCCTTGTGTGTCAGCTCAGGCTCGAATGCCTCACCCTCCGTACTGCACAATAAAAATGCGCCTGTTCTGCGTGGGTGTTCTTTCCTGCGGAATTGTCAAACAGGCACAGGATATACATATCACGTAGGCTGCCCTCTCCGTACCCTCTGAGGACATCATCTAAACGACATAAGGCATTTAACAAAACAAAAATTAAGATTAAAATTAATCGAAAAAGAAGCAAATTTAATTCGACGCCATAGGAACTGTGACGAGATAAGTACATGTGTTATGTTTGGAATCATTAAGAAGGTATCACATATGACACTGGAACTCAAATTTCTCAGGCTGCGATGTATACACAAATTTGTATGTGCGAGGACTACGCGGGTGAATTTTAAGGAACAAAAGAAGATGTCACTTAGGGACAACTCCTTTTTTTCGCACGATTGTGTAAATATGGACTTCCTAAATGTTCAGCGGAAAACGTATTTCACGTTTAGCAGTTCGTATTTACCGCTTAACGCTTTTCTCTTGACCCTTGCTGGCGACTCGGGGAAAAAGTAGCCGTGTGTATATGTCCCATATAATATAGCTGCGCGAGGTTTTTTTTTTTTTTTTTTTTTTTTGCCCATTTTGCCATCCATTGTTTGTACATTCCTCTAACTGGAACATGTGCACTTATTGCGCGTGCTGCTTTCTTTTTTTCCCCCTTGGCTGCTTCAATGAATACTAGTAAAATATTCTTACACGAATACAGAGTATATCCCCTCCTCTCGCAATTACACCACAAGTCTCACTTCCCTGCTTGTCCCCTACGTTGGTGGATTCATTTGGTCATACTGGGACATAATTTTACCCCTCAGGATGACGGTTTAAAATGTATTTTTCCGTGAGCCAAAAAAAATGATTTCCTCTCAAGCTCATGGATATATAAATATATGCACACTTGGATGTTCAATATATGAGGTGAACTCCCATGGGGTACACATTGCAGGGGACTCTTGTCCATGCTGTCCTAAAGTGCATACTCCACACAAAGCACTTTTATCAATCCGTCGTAATAAAGAAAAGCCTCGTCCGCGTCAGCCTCTACCTCCTCATTATGTACAATGTGGCTGTATAATTTTCCGAAGTTTTTTAAAATTTTCACGTTATTATTGTCTATGCTGTACTTTAAGAATTCCTCTCTTTTGTCGTAAAAGTTTTTAAAAACTCTTAAATTTAATGGTTGATAATTTTTATTTTCCTTCGAGCTATTTTTTGCTTTCTTATTTTTGATAATTTTAAACAGCGAATTCTTAAAAAAAAAAGTCCACACGTCATTCCTGCAGTAGTAGCTCTTCATCTGCCCACTGATATGGACATCCGACAGTTGGGACGAATTTTCCAAAATTTCTTTTCTTACATTCTGTGAAGTGGCATAAACAGGGGGGAAACTTTATTCGCAATATCGACACATGAGCAGGGCGATTTCCACACGCATGCGCACACATTCACAAGGTACACACACATGCAACCAGCAATGCTTCCTTCCCAAACCTACCGCGCAGGCTTCTTTATAGATTTTAAGTCCGATCTCCTTTTCCACGTAAAACTCATCAATCATCTGCTTAAGCGCTTCCTTCAGAGACTCCAGCAAAATGGAATGGGCAAACTTTTCGTCGAATGTACCCTCGTCCATTTTAATTTGGTTCACCTATTGAAAAAAATGGCTTGTTTTTTTACCTGACTGTTCATAATTTTTTTTTTTTTTTTTTTTTTTTTTTTTTAAATCATTTGGAAGAGTAACTACGTCTGCATTCCTTTAAAAAATCGTTTCCACTTTGTGCTCATCCTCTTTTGAAATAATTTTCCTTATTTTTTCATTTGTTGTTTGAAATATTTTGCACTGGCAATAAATAAGGCACGACCACCATTTGGTAGTTCTATAGGAGTTACACACAAATAGGTAGGAAGAGAAGACAACGCGGTTCTTGTTCAAATGGGCATACACGCAATGATTACAAATGAGGCCACACTTTTTGTGTGCATGTAAAAATATGCCTTTTTTTTGTGGAGAACTAGGAATTAGTCAGCTGGGGAAAAATTATGTTTTTCTTTCTGCGTTCCTCTCATTAAAGTGCAAATTGAATGAGCAGGCGCGCGAACTTATGGCCGCGTAGAGCCTAGCTCCTTTCTCAAAATTGTAATCGCGTGGCCCACGTATATGCAAGCAAGCCGCGTTGCCCTCAATTGTCAATGTTTTGTGTAAGGCCACCTGTTTTGGTCAATATCAACATGGCGCGGCAGCAGAATGGAATAAGATATGTTAACTTGATGGAAAATGAACTGCACAAAACGGATCGCGCAAAACGAATTGCGTAATAACGAACCGCACAAAACTAACCACACAAAATGAACCAAGTAAAATCATTGAAACACAACTGTCACACAGAATGATGCAAACGTCCCATTGACGAAGCGCTAAAGAGAAATTGCGACATGCCTCAAGTATTCGGTCCCGTCCTTGCAATTTTTTTGTTTTTTTTTTTTAAACCCATGGGAATAGCATTTCCTCTCATGCACCTTCCCAGTCTCACATTTAAAGTTCGAGCTTATGCAGCCACATGACAAAAAAAAAAATGTATTCATTCGTCAATTTCCCAGTTTTTTGGGTCCTCTTTGTGTATTATGGGCACCTGGTTAACCCATCTCAGTGTAACTGTTGTTTTTTCATCTTTTTTCTTTTTTTTTTTTTACGAGGGTAAATGCATTGACAGCGCCATTCCCAGGGAGATTTTTTTTTTAGCCGACACAAAAGGAGAAAAATCGATTTGCATTTTATAAAACACCAGCGCTGTGCTGATGTGAATACTACTCCACAGTTGTTGCAGGTTTAGAGAAACACATGTTCAGAGAGGTCCATTTTGATTTTTTTTGTTTTATATGTTCTACACCCTCCCAAGATAGGGCAAAACACTTTTTTTTCACCGCGTATCTTCCGTTTTGTTCCCTGTCCTTTCTCTGTTTTTTTCCGTTTGTTTCTGTTACTTTTCCTTCCTGTTCCAATGAACCCACCGGGATGTACCCAATGCGCTCGGACACATAGACTCTGTGGCTTACTGCACATATATTAATCGTGTTCCGAATCTGACCCGAAATAGGTGCACACGCGCATAGGTGACCCTAGCCCATACATAGCGAGTGAATCCACTTGTACCCATTCAAATAAGCACACTAACATAAAACGCAAATTGAAACTTGAAAGAAAAAGTTTTGCGTGTAATTCGAAGCCGACCGACAAATAGGTGGAGCGGCGTCAGACAAAACTCTGTACACGGACCACATGTGAAAGCAAGCACATGACGATGCACCGACTGGTGTAACTTCCCATTGTACATCGTCGCGCATCACCCATGGAGCTGGGAAGCCCAAATGTGCTTCCCGCTTACGACGCGAACAAAAGTGTCAACGGGAATGAAAACGCAAAAACGATCATTTCTGACCTAAATGCAAACCATAGCACGGAACGGAAAAATCAGACAGTTGTATATAATGACCAGAACGACGGAGCCACCCATGATGGTGGAGGGAACGGGCCACCCCAAACACACAGCAACACAGAACGGGATAAAGAAGACAAGATAAAATTTGAAAAAAAAAAAAAAAAAGGCGATAAGCTAAAAAAAGAAAGAGAAAAAGAAATCGTAGTGGCATACTGGCTAAAAGGAATTGTGAAAATTTTAAATGCAGGATTAAAAAATGGAGACATAAAAGGAAGTAATTTTATAGGAAAAAAAATAGCAGAGGTGCTACAAAAAGTGGTGGAAATATCGCACTGGAATAATGTGTACGATTTGATTGAAATTATCAAATATTTGGGAAGAGAAATAATCAGAAATAATAAAATGTATTTCATCATTCCAAACATTATCAGAAGAGTGTTAACAATTATTCGCACAGAGCATTTTAAACAGCTATACCTGTACAACAACAACTACGTTGACAATTTGAACAAGAATAACAATTTTCTTGTTGACAAAAATACAAACAAATGTATCAACAGTAAGTACGTTTACGAAAGAGAAATAAAAAACTTCGAGCAATCATTTTCATTTTATTTCGAAAACAATAGCAAAAAAAATACTTATCACATTCCTGCAACGAATACCTTAAGACATTCAATAATTGAAGGGATTACTGAATTAATTGCAGATATTGATCCTTCCTGGGGGGAGACAGAACAAAGAACGTCTTACGATTTATTTATGGAAAATGATGTCATTTTAACGATGGGTTACTCAGTTGGGGTTGAAAAGTTTTTAAAAAATATAAATAAAAAAAAAGATGGAATTTCAGTCATTGTTGTTGGGGGAGATGTTAACCGGAATGGATTTCGAATGGCACAGTTACTAAGTGAAGATGGAGTGGACACTACGTACATTTCCGACTCAGCCGTTTTTGCGGTTATACCAAAAGTGACCAAAGTTGTTCTTGGGTCAGTGGCAGTTTCCTCCTCCGGGGGAGTAATCACCAAAATTGGGGGTTATAATATAGCTTGTTCAGCTCAGTTTAATTCGAAGCCTGTAACTATCGTGTTGCCATTGTTTAAGTTAATTAATGACCCCTTTTATGACCCAATTAGACAAAATGAACTTCAGCCAGGTCCATCCATGATTTACAACGACGCCGATAATTTGTATGTGCGCATACCCAAGTATGATTACATTCCTGAACATATGATAACTCTGTACATCACGGAAAATGGCCCTGTAGACTCCTTCCAGTTGTACAATATTACTAAGCGGACGTATCACCCGGATGATTTAGACCTCAGTTTCGACTGAAGAGGGCGCGCAGCAGGCAGTGCTCGTAGCAGCACTGGTAGCGTCGGAAGATGCCAATGGGGAGGACAAAGGTGATGCGACTCCCAGCGGCATATCTGTAAGTACTCCCCGCGTGTGCACGGCATGGATCTCCCTTCTTGTCACTCCTTTCAGGTGTACAAATGCGGCTCCCACTTTAGCTTTAACCACAACTTTAGCCTGTTCCTTTCTTTTGTTTTTTGTTCAAATTCGTCCAAAAAAATATGACCCGTTCAGGCAAAAACGCGTTTTCGCCTGCACAAAAGTAAACAAAAAAAAAAAAAAAAAAAAATTCTGCAGCAACGTGCACGTTAGCGAAATGTGTGTACATGTGGGCATCGACACAGGCGGGCCTCCACTTTTATCGCTGCACGCGCTATGATGACCCACACGGGTATGCTCATTTTGGCCAGTAAATGCTATATAGCTGCATTTTATCCCCTTTGTGATTTTCGTCCAGTCATGCTTTTTTTTTTTTTTTTTTTTGTAAACTGTTATGTACACAGCACCCAAAAATAAGTTTCTCAATCAGTGCGCCGCGCGCCTCCCGTATTTTTTTTATTTTATTTTTTTTGTCCTGTACCATGTACTGCTTGTCCCTATTCACACACACATCTGAGAGGTGTGTCAACGGAGTCCCCTTTTTTCATGCCCCACAAATATGTGGAACAAAGCATGTGAATATTGACCGGGATAAAAACACACACAAAAAAGTGGCAACATAAGCGCAGATGCGCCATCCATGATTAAATACGTAAATGTCTAAGCCTGTAAGAATACTTCAATATATACATTTATTGGCTTGGGGGGAGATGCCCTTATGACTGGTACCCCTGTCGACTCAGTCGCCAAAAAAGGAGGACTCATTCTCAATTAACTTCTTCGCTCCATTGATGGAACCCACTATAGCGTCTATGTTCGTTTCCAGCACGATGCCTGGGGGGACGGGAAAGAGATGACAGGCACCATGACCACACGTGCGACAACTTGGAGAATTACGTGTGCACCTCCATGTGTGCAAGTTACACATGCCCAAGCGAGGGGCGAAACAAACGAGATATAGCCATCAGGCAAAAAAAACAAAAATAAAAATCCCCCAATTGGCTTCCTCACGTTGCGTTGTGCATACCTCCCATTATGATCTCATCCAGTATGTAGTTGATCTGATAGAGGGAACATGAAACAAAAAAAAAAATATATCGTTTATGCTCCACTTGTGTACATGTTGGCATACTTCAACTCATGCGCCATTTCCCCACCTAACATGGGTCCCCCTGTTGACACGTTGTTTTTTGGAACACCGTTCAAGTTGTGCTTCCCCCCCCCGTTTATTACCTGCTCGTAATTATATATCAAGTCCAACTCGCACACATTCTCGAAATTTGCATCTAACACTTGAACGAAAACCTGCACACAATGGATGAAACGGTCGGTGTGGCATGGCAACAAAGGGCAAACGATGGTTGTACTTTTCCCTCAGATTTGCTCTCCATCTGGGGAAGTGCTACTACAATTGAGCTATACGCCTGTCGGTTGCTCATTAACTCTTTACCTGAATTAGGTCCAGAATACCCAACTCGCTCTCCATAGAGTCGATGATAAAAATAAAGTACAGAGTCGCGAAGTGCCTAACGAATGTGTGCAAATGGTATACAAAAAATAAATATATATATAATAAAAATCTCCCTGTTTCATTGTTCCACACGGCGACGGTGTGTATGCTTTTGCATTAGTCTGGATAGAAAAGGTGACTAGGGCGGCTGTCCACATAACGCCACTTCATTTTTATTCCTTGTCACTCCTCAATTTCATATTCACCTGTACACAATTTTTACATCCGGGCTGAACAATTCCTCATCTTCCAAAAAGCAACAACACTCATTGGTAACTCTTTTCTTTATAGTTTCATGAATTCGCTTTGTAACCATCTGTTGCCTTTCATGGCTCTGTGGAGTTCAAAATAGGGCGCACGTATGTGTTCAACCTTGCATGTCAGCAGGCATACACATGGATTACAGATCGTCATTTGCCTCTACCCTTTTCTCTTTCGTTTTTTTTTTCCCTCCTTCCAGGTTGCACTTACACTGTCGTCGTAAAATCGGAGGAACCTCGGCTTCCCATTGTTGTTTATTATTAGAACGGCTTTTATCATCTTGCCTTACGGAGCTTTGGCCATGCTGCTTTGGTTACGCCGCTTCGAAGTCTTATTAATATGCTTTCTTCTACTTTCAGTTTATTTTACGAATTGCCGCGCTCGCTGCGCGTACGTGGGCATAACGCAATTACTTCAAAATGGTAAAAAAAAAGCGTGGGCCATCGTTGTTGGTGAAGCCACCACCACCCCCCTTGTGTATGGGCTAAAAGAGCCAACAATATGTTCACTCGTTCGTTAGCTCTTTGTTTTTTTTTTTTTTTTTTTTTTTTTTTCCCCCTTTCCCTTTTCCCCGTTTTTTTTTCTTTTTTTTTTTTTTTTTTTTTTTTTTTTTTTCCACCTGTACCTTTTCCACGTATTTTTGCACAACTCTACGACCCGTTTAGTCGACTTTTGTGTATCAAGAAATTCCATTTTTTTTGAAACCGTTTTTTTTTTTTTTTTTTTTTTCCTTAATGCTTCCTCCAACTTGAGTTGCCACGGTTTGAACAAATACGCACCACGGGTGGTGGTTATCTGTGGGACAAAGTTACCAAACATGCCCAGCACTACCCTCTTAATAGTTGCCAATTTACTAACCCCTTTTTTCTAACGCGTGCTCCACTTACGGAGGTCGTACCCACCCATGCATTGTGGTTGAGAAGGACGGACGCTTCCGCGCACACAGTTTTACTCAAAATGAGCTGGACGTTGTTGAGTTCTCCTTCATGTCAATGTGTTTGTTACTGGGGATACGCAGTGTTCTGCTCGTGCGGGGCAAGGGTCCCACCCATGTGCTGCTGGCACGCACGTGCTGCAACGTGTAACCATGAGCAGTACACACAAACGTTTAACAAGGGAAAACCAGGCCTCCGGGAAAAGGCGACATCAGAGTACAACATCATCCGCAGATAACCCCCCCAATCATATGTACACAAAAAAAAAAAAAAAAAAAAAAAAAA